TTGGAAAGTGGAAAACAAGTTGTCAGATGGAATGTGACGGGTCAGAAGGGGCGAAGGGATAGGGCTGAATAAAGAAGACAAAGAGTTAGATAAGGGTTGGGATATCTGAGAAGTAGCCCACTTATTAGTACCCACTCCGCTCGATGCAATGAGCAGAGCGGTTTTGATTATTCTGCGCGACGACCGATGCAGTATGGAATTACTTTATCTGCGTATGAATTAGAGTTTGATGAACGGGTACTGCTAGGGAGCCCAAATAGTAAGCAGAACGGTTAGGGTTCTCAACTAAAGCGTTTGGTTATGATAAAAATCTAAAAGCAGGGCAGCGGGTAAGCCTTAGTGGAGGACCATTTATTTGGAGAAATTATTCCTACAGTAGTTTCCTACCGACTGGGACGTAAATTCGAGGCGAACCCACTCGGTTGTAAAAATTGAAAAGAACTTTCAAGTAAACCGAGAAAAATAGCTGGATCAAACGAAAAACTGTTTGAAGTGAATTGTCATATCTTACTAACACAGAAGAGCATGCGTCTCATCTTACAACAGTATTCAGAGTATGAAAGTACCATTTCGTTTTGCTTTGTAAGTTGACAATTAGGTTATGAATAAGGTCTGTTCTACAGACAAAAGGATCACCAATATGATTCACCGGGATGGAATGAGTGCTAAACTGTCGACCTGAAAAACTATAAGTAAATGTTGAGATGAATGTTTTACTTCTAACTCCAAAGGGAAACTCTTAATCTGCGGTACTTCTGGCGCCGGCGCAACGTATTTCTTGCACTAAAAGGGCTTGTGTTGCGCAGCGGTACGCACCGTGTTGCTCTATGGCTGCGGAACCTGGCCTCTCCGAGTAGATTACATCCAACGACTGTCCGTCCTCGTTAACCGTTGTCTGCGCAGCACCGCCCGCGTATCGTGGGAGCATCGCATGAATAACGATAAGGTTAGATGACGAGTGCTAGGATCAGGTAGTCTTCCGTTGAGCAAAATAATTTCATAGCATCATTCATCATTGTACGGCGTAATACAGTGAAGCGAACTTCACTGATCGCTGCCAAACTCATACTGCATACAAGGTAAGTGATAATGTGTAAGGAGGACAGGGATTGGACCTATTCTAAGGGACAGGAAAAGAAAGTGGACCTCTATGGTCAACACACAGAGTACACGGTCCAGCTGTGCATACATACCATTTCAAGCATTCTGGTCTGATAAGAAGTGACAGCANTGTTGCGCAGCGGTACGCACCGTGTTGCTCTATGGCTGCTGAACCTGGCCTCTCCGAGTAGATCACGTCCAACGACTGTCCGTCCTCGTTAACCGTTGTCTGCGCAGCACCGCCCGCGTATCGTGGGAGCATCGCATGAATAACGACAAGGTCAGATGACGGGTGCTATGATCAGATAGTCTTCCGTTGAGCAAAATAATTTCATAGCATCATTCATCATTGTACGGCGTAAAACAGTGAAGCGAACTTCACTGATCGCTGCCAAACTCATATTGCATACAAGGTAAGTGATAATGTGTAGGGAGGACAGGGATTGGACCTATTCTAAGGGACAGGAAAAGAAAGTGAACCTCTATGGTCAACACACAGAGTACACGGTCCAGCTGTGCATACATACCATTTCAAGCATTCTGGTCTGATAAGAAGTGACAGCATGATCGCTATTGCTGTCGGTTCGTAGCCATGATCTTCAGTGTCTCCAACCATGCGGTTTCGGAGTCTTTTAGACCCCAACCCGGAAGCCGAGAGACACCTACTCTACCGAATCGCTCTAGGCATTCCTTCATGCCTCGTCTCTACATCATCTTCTTGCCTCCACGTGACTTTCTCCAGCTTTTAACAGCCACTGCGAATAAAGCGCGCTGTGGTAGGCGACCGTCGGACATACGCAGAATGTGTCCTAACAAACGAAGCCTATTCAGCTGGATTTGATGCGATAGTGAGTTCTTGTTTGAGATATTCTCAAACACTCGACGACTTACCTCTAAGTTACTAACCCGCTCACTCCATCCCACTTGGGCCAGACTACGTAAGCATCAATTGTCAAACACTGCTAAACGACGGGTGTGTTCTACCCATATGTTCAAGGTCTCACAATCGTACAGCAGAACTGATCGTACAGTGGCACATTATATTAGACTTTTCAACTTCAGTGAAACGTCACGTCGCCGCCATGTGTTTTAGTCCTGCGTATGCTGCTCGAGCCTTGGAAATGCGGGCGGTTATCTCCTTCGATGCGCTACCGTCGTTGGTCACGCAGCTACCTAAGTACGGGAAGCAGTCAGCTTCAGCTAATTCATAACCGTCTAGTTTCAGAATGGAACTCGGTGACACCTAGTCTTGTAGCATCACTTTGCACTTTGAAGGTGCAAAGCACATGCCGAACGGAGCGACAGACCTTGTTAATCTGCCATGTGCTCTTTGCGCATCCTCCATAGATAAGAACAAACAGACGATGTCGTCAGCGTACTCCAAATCGCACAGCTTTTCTCCAGCTGCACATTCAATACCAACATTTTGGAGACCACAAAGTGCGTTCTCCAGTATTTCGTCTATGACGAAATTGAACAGGAATGGTGAAAGACGGCACCCTTGACGAACACCGCGCGCTAGTTACGAACGACCTACTCAGCTCTCCATAGACCCTTACGCCACCAGAAGTATGTGAGTAGAGTAAACTCAGTATTTTCACATGCTTCTGCAGCATTCCTTTGCGGAGAAGCGAACCCATAAAGGATTCGCGGTCAACTGAGTCGAAGGCTCCTTTCAGGTCAAGGAACACAACCGTTGGTCGACGGTCAACGGTGCGTATGGCGTAGCTCGAGGACTTGAAGCAGAGTGAAGAGTTGGTCGATACAACCACGATCTAGTCGAAATCCTGCTCGTTGTTCGCGGATGTTTGTCTCCCTAAACGATGTCAGACGTCGAAGTATAATGGTGACGATTGGGATCAGACTTATTCCACGGTCGTTTGCGCAGTCGTGGCGAGATCCCTTCTTAAAAATGGGAACAATCAATTATTCGCTCCAGGATGGTGGAATGCGCTCATGTGACCAGCTGTTACGTATTGGATCAATAATGGAGTCCACAAGGTCATCGCCTCCCAACTTGAAGAGTGGGGGGAAGCCTATCCTGTCCTGCTGCTTTTCCCTTCTTCAGGGCTTGGATGCATGATCAAACTTCCACTACAGTAGGAGATTCACATGACACTTCCCATGGAGCCGCAACTACAACAAACGATATATTCTGGTCAGCACCTAGCCGGCTGAACTGTTCGTTGAAGTACTCCGCCCACCGGTCAAGCCGTTGTTCCCTATTGTGAATAGCTTGTTCACCTTTGTCGCATATTGTTTCACTAACTGTGG